GCGCTCTACCACTGAGCTACAACCCAGCTCCGAGACCCTATCTTAAAATAAAAAATAAAAATAAAATAGGGCTGGGGATGTGACTTAGTGATTAAGTGCCTTTGAGTTCAATCCCCAGTACAAGAAAAACAAAAAAACATATTCCTGGCCCCGTACCCAGAGTTTCTGATTCAGTAGAGCCTAAGAATTGGCATTACTGACAGTTTTCAAATGACAGTTGTCGCAGATGGTTTTTCAAGCCAAACTCTGAGGATTAATACTTCGTAAACATACAACTAGAACAGTGGGAGAAGTACACAAGTGTTCTAGAGCACAGGTGAGCCACCATGGCTGCTTTATAAGCATTTTGCAACTGAGGAAGTTATATAATGAGAGAAGTGCGTGGATGTTCCAAACCACAGACGTTCCAACTGCCTGGCGCTTTTGGCATGTTCCAGACTTCAGGTTCCAGATGGTAGGAGGGAAGAAAAGCATTGATTGATCAAGAGTTGGCTAAGTGAAGGTCAGTTAGAAGAACTACTTCTATACAACATTTTTTTTTTTAAACACTTGGGCCAACATTGGATACTTTATTCTATAGCATTCTGGGAGAAGGTAAGTTTGGAGTGTGTGGCTTAGTCTTGAGACATAAACAAAACCTCCAATTTCTCCCCATTCTAATTATGGTACCAGCATAAAAATGGGGTGTCCCTTGAGAGACAGAAATTTCTGGGATCAGAGATTACACCTTTTGGTGTGAAAGAGAAGCTCAAGAGAGAGGTAAGAGTCTGAGTTTCTGTCTTTGGTGACTGTACATCATTGTAGCACCATATATATCCTAGCACCTAGACGTCAGATGAACAGCACCTCTTTTGGAAGGGGTACTGAAAAGTGGGTGGCCAGAGATCAGATTGACTGACTGATGGCTGACACCCATATCAGGGATTGGGAGGCTTTCAAGATGGTGGGCCAGGCTCAGCATGAGATTGAAGGTGGGGATTGCCAACAACTAACAGAGGCCCACATGAGCCACAGCATGGTCAATTCCTATGACATACAGACTGCATCATGTGCCAGGGTTTGATTTTCCTTAATTTCAACATCCCCAACATGACTATTAAATCGTTTAACAATCCATTGAGTCTTGAAAGATGAAAAATGATTCTTGAAAGATGATCCAGAAGGATCTGGAACTAATTAGTATTTATATTATGACTCAATTCCAGCAACTGGCGCACGTCCCATGACATTCAGACCCTGAGACAGTGTAGATATCTTGCTCCCACCATAACAACTTATGTATTAAACCACAAATATTAGGTGATATTTGAACTGTTTAGAGAGGTGAAGTTACAAAAATAATACTTTAGACTAAAATATTATGAAGTCTAGAAACAAAAGAATAAACACTACACAGGCTCTTACCTCTTAAAAATTTTTAGTTTTTCCCTTTGCATATTTTAGTTATTATGTTAAATGTGTCATTATCTTGTCCATACATCTATTTTTAAAAATGATACTTACATATTAATTGTGAAGATTCTAATTCCTGGTTCTTTGTGTGTGTGTATGTGTATATATATATATATATATATATATATATACATATATATATATATATATATATATATATATATATATATTTTAGTTGTAAACGGACACAATGTCTTTATTTATTTATTTTTATTTGGTGCTGAGGATCGAACCGAACCCAGTGCCTCACACGTGCGAGGCAGGTGCTTTACCACTGAGCTACAGCCCCAGCCCTCCTGGTTCTTATTTACAATTTTTTGATATTAGTATTGAAAGAAAAGTGACCACAACACTCAGAGCAGCCAAAAGATCTTTATTGCAGCAGTGCAACAAAGAGAAAAAAAAGGAGAGAGAGAGAGAGAGAGAGAGAGAGAGAGAGAGAGAAAAGAGGAGAGATGAAGAGGGAGAGAGCAAGAGCAAGAGAGAGACAGAGAGAGGGCGCAAGAAAGACAAAGAGAGCAAGAGAGAGAGAACAAGTGAGAGGGGGGCCTGGCAGGAGGGAGTTTTTATAGCCCAAATCTAATGGGGCCTCTGGGTCTGCAAGCTGCCTTGTTGGCCCAAGGGGGGGTTAAGTGTTCAGCCTTAAGCAGGGTTGAATGTTCAGACTTGAGGCAAACAGGTGATAAAGGACCAGATAGAGGGGGGTTTGAGTGCGTGGGCTATCTTGCAGCCAACATCTGTTCAGCCTGCCCTGCAGACAACAGAGTTCAGCCTGCTCTGCACCCAACAAGTATCTCCTCAAACATTATAGAGGGCAACAGTTTTTTTTTTTTAAGGGAAAAAGTTATCCATGATCTTATCACCATAACAATGAGCATTCTTATTTCTAATTTCCAGGCTTTCTTTTAGAAAATCTGGGTATAATCACTGTGAATATGCAACTTTGAGAACTACTTTGTTTTTTTTTTTTTTTACTAGCTTTTATTTGTTTCCTATTTATAATTTGGTCACTATATCATAATGTTAATGTCTACCTAATGCCCCAAATGCAATTCTTCTCCTTTCCCCACAAAACCTGCTCCACCTCCACCTTCCCCATCTCAGTTAACGGCCACACCATCTTTTCATTGCTCACTCCAAAACCCCCAGAGCCAGCTTACTTATTTTTTTTTCTCTTGCTTTGCCTCTAATTCAACAAGAATCCCGTGGACCCCACCTTCAACATACACCTAGAGTATTAGTTTCCTAGGGATGTTATAACAAATCTCCCTAACCAGTGCAACTTAAAACAGCAGCAATGTCTCAGAGGAGAAATGGCTAGAAATCTAAAATCAGGTGCAGCAAGACCCTGCTGCCTCTGAAACTTGAGGAGGGGGAATCCTTCCTTGCTTCTTCCTAGTCCTGGTGGTGGCTGTCAATCCTTGTTGTCCTCAGCTTGTAGCTGCATTGAGGTCTGTCCTCATGAGGCATTATCTGATGTATCTGTCTTCACGCGGTGTTCTCTTATAAGATATCAATCATAAGGGATTAGGGCCTACCCTATGACCTATCTTAACTGGTTACCATGGCAAAGACCCTGTTTCAAATAAGGCCACCTCAGGAGTTAGGACTAAGTTGTATGTTTTGGGGAGCACAATTCAACCCATGAACCTTCAAACACCTCCCCCCATCCTGGTGTAAGCCTCTTACTTCTTGCTGTGGTAGGCTCTTGGCTGGTTTTCTGCTCTCATTTGTCCTCCCTCGTCTGTTTATTTGTTTATTTTTTCATGGGGGGTATCAGGGATTGAACCCAGGGGCCCCTAACCACTGAGCAACATCCCCAGTCCTTTTAAAAATTTTTAATTTTAAGACAAGTTCTCGCTAAGTTGCTTAAGGCCTTGCTAAGTTGCTGAGGCTGGCTTTGACTTGCAATCCTCCTGCCTCAGCCTTCCGAGCAGATGGAATTATAGGTGAGCACCGCCACACTCGACTCCATTGTCTCTTCCTGACTCCTCTGTTCAGAATCTTCCATTGACTCCCAACTCACAAAGATAGAAACCAAAGTCCTTGCAGTGGCCTACGGGTCCCTCCTGACTGCATCCTTCTCATTCCTTACCTTTCTCCATGCTCCACCTGGCCTCTTCATGGACACACAGCGCACCAGACATATTCCCACCTCCTGGCCTTGGCACTTGCTGTTCCCATTGTCAAGGATGCTGTCTCTCAGATGACCTCATGGCTGGTACCTTACTCAAGTCTCTGCCTGACTGCCACCTTCTTAGAGAGGCCTTTCCTACCACTTCCACCACACCTCATCTTCCCTCCCACCTGCCCTCTTCCCCACAGGCCCTATTCCACTTTGCTGTATTATTTTTTTCCAGAACATTCTCCATCTTCCAAGAGACAGTTTTCTTTACTGATTTATTTTATATTTTGTTTATTCCTACCACCACCACCACCATCCAAATATAAGCACCTTGAGGACTGGAATATTTGCCTTATACTAGGCACCTAAAACAGGGCCTGGCCCATAGAAAATACTCAGTATTTGTGGAATTAATGAGAAGCAGGCCAGTGCACTTTCTCATAAATTACTAAACCATTTATATTTATTATCATATGTTCATCTTATTTTCCAGATATATTTGGTCATTGTAAGTAATGCTACGATCAGTAGTTTATTGTATATAATTTACTTATCCACTCCCTGACCTTTTTCAGTTATTTCACTGGGGATGCATTTGCAGGATGAACACTGTCAAATTGACTTCCATAGGGTTTTTATTAATTTACACTACCATCATGAATAACTCTGTGTTCACACTGCCTTGCTTTCTTTTTTTTATTGTACTTTTCATTTTTTTTTAATTTGTTCTACTTGACAGCAGAATGCATTCCAATTCATCGTACACGAATGGAGCATAACATTTCAATTCTCTGGTTGTACACAGTGTAGAGACTCACCATTTGTGCAATCATACATGCACTTAGGGTAATGATGTCCATCTCATTCCACCATCTTTTCTACCCGCACTGGGTTTTTAATCTCACCTTTATTTTTGCCAGTTTAGTAATATAAGTATGACTAGTGATTATTTTGACTTTAATTTGCATTTTTTTTTTCTGGTAACTGGAGATTGAACCTAGTGGGGAATTGCTACTAAGATACATATTCAACCCTTTTATTTTTTATTTCAAATAGAATCTTGCTTAGTTGCTTAGGGCTTTGCTAAGTTGCCGAGTCTGGCCTTGAATTTGTGATCCTCCTGCCTCAGTCTCTGAGTTGCTAAGATTACAGGTGTACACCAGCTAATTTAGATTTTTTTTTTAACTATTCTTAACTTTTTCATATATTCTTTAGTTTAACTTCTGTTATGAATTGTCTGATATAGACTCCTGAAGTTTTTCTGAGGGGTCAGAAGCCTTTCATTTATACTTACTTATTTATTCTTTTGGGGAGGCAACAATATTGATCCTGATTTATATTTGTTGTAGTTATGCTTCCATTCTGCCATTCTTTTTTATTCTGTATTACTAATTAAATTCTGAATGTGTTTTATTTTCTGCAGCTGTGGACTACTGTGCCTCAGAAAACCATGGGTGTGAATACGAGTGTGTAAATGCTGATAACTCCTACTTGTGCCGATGCCGTGAAGGATTTACCCTTAACCCAGATAAAAAAACATGTGCAAGTAAGTTACATACACACACACATACACACACTCGATGCTAATGCTATGGGGATTGTGGCCATGGAAATCTCCCAAGCATAGATTTGCATAGGATTATGTCTGCCCCTATTCCTTCCCTAGGCCTTTCTGAATTGTCCTAAGACTATAGCCCACTCTTTGTTAACATCACCATTCAGTGTATTTGCAAAGGGTATCTTTTGTTGAAGACCACATGTGGGTGTGTTCTTCCAGCATCTGCTGAGTGTGTTGCCAATCAGACCACTTTCCTCTGTGCTGCCTCAGCCTGGCTGTGTCCGGCAGTATTAACAGGGCTTGAGGAATATTTTCACTGAAGCTTTGTGGCTTGTGGGCTCCAGCTCTGACTCTACACAAGTACCAGAAAATCGCTGAGCCAAAGAGAACTGAGCGCGGTTTCTTCTGGGTGGGGTAGGGATAGGTGGATGGCATTTCGCAGAGAAATGCTCAAATTTTTTGTTTGAGCTGTTTAGTTCTCTTTGACTTTCAGTGTATACTTAAATTTCAAAATTAATTTTAGCTCCCCAAATTGGAACATAAAAATCTATAAACTAAAGGTGATCACTAGCTTTACAAAAGGATTACAAATGTGTTCTTTTAAACATAAAAGTATGTGAGAGCCCCTGAAGTTGGTGTGTGTGTGGATTACTATCCTGCTGTAGGGAGGGTCACTTGAGAGAAGCTTGTTTTTAAAATATTGGGGACCAATGTTTTTAATAAGTGAGGTTTAATTAGAATGTCATCTTTGAAACGTATCAATGAGAAAATAAGGTTTTTATTTGTAAAGAAAGTTCAAGTGCCTTCAACCTTTCTAAAATGCACTCACTATATAAAGCTGTATTGACCTATAGATTTTAAAAAAGCATCCCGAACCTAAACTAATCTCCTATTCTTTAATCCCTTAATATCAGCAGCTTCTTTTTAAAAATATTTATTTTTTATTTTTGGTGGACACAATATCTTTATTTTATTTTTATGGGGTGCTGAGGATTGAACCCAGTGCCTCATGCATGCTAGGTTAGCATCCTACCATAGAGTACAACCCCAGCCCCTCAGCAGCATCTTTACACTGGAGCTAGAGGCAGGAGGTGTATAGAACAGTAAGGGACACATTAAGTAAAAAATGTACATTTCTGAGCTGGGCATGGTGGTGCACACCTGAAATCCCAGTAGATTGAGAGGCTGAGGCAGGAGGATCATGAGTTCAAAGCCAGCCTCAGCAAAAACGAGGGGCTAAGCAACTCAGTGAGACCCTGTCTCTAAATAAAATGCAAAATAGGGCTGGGGATGTGGCTCAGTGGTTGAGAGGCCCCTGGGTTCAATCCCTAGGACCCTCCACCCCAAAATGCACCTTTCTGAAGCCCCAAGCATGAGCCAACAGGAGTGAACAGGGCAAGGTCCTCCTTGGAGGACTTTCATTCACCAGGCAAAGAAGGATTAGTTGGGGCTCCAGGAGAAGGAAACCTATGTAAGGATGGGAAGAAAACAGGGGAGTCTGGATCTTCATACCCAGCACATGATTGGCGTTTGGTTGGTTGTTTTGTTTGCAGAGAGAATGAGTGAATGAGTGAGTGGACTGCTCTCTGCCCAGTCTCCATTCCCTTCTGAGCACTCTGAACTATGAAACAGCAGTCAGCTGGGGTAACGTTCCAGGAGTTGTGGTTTCTGGGCTGATGAGTCAGTACTCCCCATCAGAGGGGGGCATGCACTGCTGGTTCAAACCCCAGTTCCTCTGCCTTTTCTCTGGGCCATCTTGGGCAATTATTTTATGCCTCAGTTTCTTCAACTGTAACAGGGGATGACAACACTGCCTACTTTGTAGAATTATCTTGAAGCCTAAATGAGATGATTTATAGAAAGTGTTTAGCAAATTGCCTGGTGCTAAGTAAAGTTCTTGTGCAAGATGATACTGGCTTCAAAGACTTTTAGCATTTATTGGGCATATACCACATGCTTAGGCTAAGTTTAAATGTACATAAAAAACTAAGATTTTCACTGGAAGTTGGTGGGAAACACAAGTCATCTCTGTGCAGTCACAATGCCAGAAGGGATGTGACTGAGGGATACAGTGTGATGCAGATAGGACCCACCGCAAGAGTTAAGGGAAGGAGGCAAGTGGAACCAGCACAGGTGGAACTGCTGCCTCACTGGGATAAGGAATGAGGAAAACAGATCCTATCCAGTCTACAGAAAGTCATCCCTGGCTGGAGTCACCTGATTTCCAGCCCCCTCCCCCCCCAGCCCAGTTCCCAGACCTGCACCATCTCCCGCACACTGTGGCTCAGCCTGTCTCCTGTTCCTAATTCCTTAGGATATAGAGAATCCAAGTCTCAGGATGGTGCAGGCAAAGAGGAGGGCTGAGTCCTGGAGTCAGACCATGCAAGTAGATACCACAGTGGAGGGGCCTGGGAAAGGAGGTTTGGCGGGGAGTCAGAGCAGGACTGATCCAGCTGGGAGGTCTCACCAGCAAGGCTCGGAGCCGGGAGTTCAGCTATCTCTGGGCCCTGTCAAGACCCAGACGCTGGCCACCCCAATGCGTGGGCAGAGCAGAGCGCTGGGAAATCTGGGGGTCTGAACAGGCAGCACCAGGGTGATCTGACCTCGAGAGAGGACATTTTACCACCCTGCTTGTGGGTGGGCAGGAGCTCGACCTGGAAGAGGGCCGGTCAGAGAATGGAGTCACTCTGAGGACTTGAAAAATTGAGGGTAGGAAATAAGCTGAAGGCCCACTTGTGGGAGCTGAGACACTCAAGCAAGCACTCCAGATTTGTGACAGGGACAAGAATAAGCACTGAAAAATAGGAACCAGTGGCAAAGGCAGAAACACAGTGTGGAGGTAGAAGCTGAGTCATGGCAGCCTCCCTATTAGCAATTACCGAGCCATCGCAGCTTCTGGCCAAGGCAGTGTGGCTGCTGCTGTCATGTTGAAAGATTTTTTTTTTAATTAATTTATTTTTTTATTGGTTGTTCAAAACATTACAAAGCTCTTGACATATCATATTGAAAGATTTTTTTAAAAATGTTTTTCTTACTTCTTTTAAGGTCTCCAGAACATAATAAATATAAATTTATTACATGTAAATGTAAATTTCTTACATTTCAGTCTCTATTTTTAACCAAAAGTATCCTTGAAAGCTAATCTAATTAGTAAGTGTGCACTTATTGTCTAAAAAAGGTATTCTAGTTAATATACCAAGCATCATTAATTTATAATTAATGTACATGATTAGAGCTCCACGTTCCTGAATAAGCAAGATAATTTAGAATAAGTGGTATTCAAAAAAAGCTTTACCTTTTCTATCAGTTCTTTTTTTTTAGTATTTATTTTTTAGTTGGATACAATATTTTTATTTATTTATTTTTATGTGGTGCTGAGGATTGAACCCAGGGCCTCATATGAGCTAGGCGAGTGCTCTACTGCTGAGTCACAACCCCAGCCCCTCGATCAGTTCTTTATGCTAAAGCAACCCATCCAAATCAGTCTGAACATTTTCCAGAGAAAAGAGTAGAAATGCTTAGGTACCATCAACTTGAAAAATATTGGCAAGATATATTTATTGTGGTTAAATATACATAACATAAAATTTACCACTGTAGTCATTTGTAAATGTATAGTTCAGTGGCAGTAAGTACATCACCTTGCACAACCATCCCCACCATCCATCTCTAGAACTTTCTCATCACCTCAAAACTGAAACTCTATACTCATTAAACAATATCTCCCTAATCACTGACACACATGGACCCCAGTCCCTGGCAACCTCTGCTTTCTGGCTCTGCAAATTTGACTATTCTAGGTACTTCAGTTAAGTAGACTGGTATTACCATACCATTGCCCTTCTGTGTCTGGCTTATTTCACTTAGCACAGTGTCCTCAAGGTTCATCCACACTGTAGCACGTGTCTGAATCTCCTTTCTCTTGGAGGCTGAATAATATTCTATTGTATGTATATGCCACATTTTGTTTATCCATGAACACTTTGCTTACTTCCACCTCTTGGTGATTGTGAATAGTGCTGCTATGCACTTGGGTGTACAAGTATCCATTTGAGTCCCTGCTCTCCATTCTTTGGGGTGTGTACCTAGAATCGTTGGATCGTATGATGCAAGATGTTGTTAGGTCTAATTTGAAACCCTTACTCTTGAGCCAAGCTGGAGAAAGAACACTTTCAGGTTCAGGGTATTTTTTCCCTACATATTTTTATGGTGCATTACAGTTGTACATAATGGTGGGATTTGTTGTTACATATTCATACATGCACACTGTGTAATGATGTAATTTGGCCAATATCATTCCCCAGCACTTTTCCGCTCCCTCCCCTTCTCCCACCTGTTTGGGGTATTTTTACCATAAGATAAATAGAGGAAATCAGTCCACTGGACAAGTATTCTTGTCTTCAGTATCAAGCCTAATAATCATCTAATGCCATATTGCTGAATAAAGGCAATTGTGGATACCATAGTTTTCATGTTGCCATTCCTTATTTTCTCACTTTAGGATCATTATGCTCATTGTTTTCCAGACTCCACTGATAACTGGGTTGATATTTCCACCTTATTTTTCAAATAGGAAGGCAAAGCACTGAATGAATATTTGATGTTTTCTTTCAAAGGGAAACACAGAAGAATATCATTATTTTATACTGAATCAGCAATAAAAGACCTAGAAAGAATTGGCTGTCAGGCTTCCTGGCCAGGATGTAATTAACCTGCTGTACCCCAATACCCTCCTACAGCCTGCAAAAAGCCACTTACAGTTGCAAGGGCCTCTGTCTGTGAATCAGAGACTCAGTTGGGAGGGGACTTCAAGTTCAATCAGTTCTTGCCCAACCACCCATCCTACAATATCCTCATTGTGATATTGTCCAGCCTACACTTGAATGCCCCTACTGACAGGATACTCGAGCTGCTCCACGGTAATTTTATGTTCAGCTCTGTTCAGTTCTAACTTTTAGAAAGCAGGTCCCCAGACTGAGCTGATATCT